GCTTTGGCCTTGACAGCGGCCTGGCGCACCTTGCCCACCACCGAGACCAGCTCGCGCGCGAGGTCCCCGCCGGCGCCGAAGCTGGTGACCACCTGCTCCAACTGGGTCGCCGACATCTGCACGGAAGGGAGGACCGCGCTGAGCGACGCCTGCGCCCCCTCGACCACGGTGGTCGGCTGAGGGAAGTGGGCCGCGACGAGCGTGCGCTGCGCTTCGAGGTCGGCCAGCTCCACCTTGATGTCGGCCAGCCCCTGGGCCATCTCCTGGCGCTTCGCCTGGAGCTCGCGGAGCTGCTGGTCGACCGCCTCCAACTGCTTTTCCTTGGATTCCTTCCGCTTCTCCACAGCCAAGATCTGCTGCGAGACGCGTTGGATCTGGATGGGGAGCGGTTTGGCCTGTAATTGGCGCGTGCGGAGCTCAGAGAGCTCCTTGATGGACAACGCCCGCAGGGCTCCCACAGCCCCGCTGCTGTCAGGCAGCTTCTCGAGGGTGTCGATCTGCTCTCGAAGCTCCTTGATACGGTCGGCGTCCTTCTCGCCACCGTCTCCAGCATCGACGTCCATAGCAGGTGCCACAGGGGCTTGCGCCCCGGCCGCTGCCAGCTTCTGGGCCTCTGCCAGCTCCTTCTTGACGCGCTGGAGCTCCGCATTGGCCTTCTTGAGCTCCTCCGACTTAGCCGAAATGGAGGGCGCTCCTCCACTGCCCCTGACCGAGTGGAAGCAGTTGCCCTTTGAACGCTTGCAGAGCTTACAAGCTGAGAAGCTTGCCCCATTCCACCAGCGCTCCCCTGTGCGGTCGTTCCAGCAAAAGCGGCAGTTCCAGGTCTTGGCATCCGCCTGCCGTTGTCGCTGCTTCTGCCCATTCGCCATGGCGTAAGGCTGACGACGAAGGCGAGGCACAGCAGGGCGGTGCACGAGCCAGCCCGCAGCCTGGTCGTGGCGAAATGTAATGGGCCGCCTGCGAGCCCAGAGGTGTGGCAGGCGAAAAGATGAATGTAGGTTGTCCGCCTGCGCACGACACGCAGGAATGCTCGGAAGGAGAGCTGCCCGCTCAAAATGGGACCTGTTCCCACTTGAGCCAAAATGGCAACGGAGCAGGAGCAGGAGGAGGAGAAGGAGGAGGAGGAGGAGGACCCCTCACCCTCCAACTTATGGTGGTGGTGGTGGTGGTTGTCGTGGTGGGTGGAAAACAGGCCTATCAAGGCAGGCGCACGCAGCATACTGTGACTCACGACTCACGATATACTGCCTGTCGAACTGTGCGAGGCTGCCGCGTGACTTGGCTTCGTCCTCTTCGGCGTGAAGTCGGTCTGCAGGTTTGTCCTCCTGCCCCTCTCTCTCCCTCTCTCCTTCTCTCTCTCTCTCTCTCTTGCGCTCCTTCTTTCTTTGTGGTGTTCGTCTCCACTCGCGAAGGCCACGTGTGCGAGCACCGTCCAACTGGGTTGGTCAACGCACGCGCGAGTGGCCGGCTGCGTCCAGCGTTTTCTGCCTGTGCTGCTCGTGTCCCATCCTCTCTCCAGGTCTGTCGCCTCCCCTCGCTTCTCCTCCACCTCTCTGGGCTTTTGCTGCGCGAGTGCGATTTTGTGGCAGGCCGCTGTCGAATCCTAGTGGGTGCGCTCACGCGCGGGATCTTGGCTTCTGCTGTGCGAGTGCGATTCTGTGCCAGGCCGTTGGCGAATCCCAGGGGATGCGCTCACGCGCGGGATCTGTCCTTCTGCATCCCGTTTCGCGCAGGGATGACAGGGGCGACATGGCGAGGACAGCCCTGTGGCAGGGTTGCCTACTCTCCGACTTGCGGCGGATAAGACAATCACCCCGTACGGCATGGAGGTGCGGCAAGGATGCAAGGGCCTCGGAGGGCCACGGCGACACTATGCGAGCGGGCTCGCGGCCAGCGAAAGCGGCCAAGGATGGGCCGAGGGGGAAGGATGCAAGGGTAAACTTGGAAAGCCGCTCATTCTCATTATGCGGTTGACTGTGGTCAAGAGGCAAGCGGGTGCGCTGCTTCCCTCTCGTCTCCTCTTCCGCCCCGTCCAGAATGGCGCTGGAGAAGAGAGGTCCTGAGAGTTCTCGCAAGTTTATAGCCTTGTGAACTTCTGCTGTCGATTTCGGTGTCCCTGATTTTTTTGCGATGCCGGTCAACGGTAGGGAGGCGGGCCCGCACGGCGGGGTCATGGCTGTCATAGTCGGCTGCTTGAGCCTGAGTAGGCCCCCGTGATCTCGACATTCTCCGAGAAGTATGCGTGTCACGCCTGGTCGAGATGTCTAGGGCTGGGCCAGCTGACAACCCGCAAGGCATTTCGCGTGGAGGCGGGCGGCGCGCGAAGCCGGAATCCTGACCCCCTGCTCCCTGATACTCGCCCAGGCGAGAGGAGCTCACTTGTACATCTTGTGCATCGTCGACGTGCTCCCCAGCGATCGCGTGGCTCAGTCCTTCTTCGATGCCCCGGGTCACTGCTCGATCCCGGCGTGGCCTCCGATGCGCTGGATCAGCCTCTTGGTCTCGGCTGTTGCTCCTTGTCCCCCTCCGTCTCTTCAAGTGCAACTGGTGCCCGGGTCATGGGAGATTCGCGCACCGAGTAGAAACGGAGTCGGCCGCGCGGACATTCTCGCGTGAGTCGGCGCTTCGGCGCCCTCTTCTCCACGCGAAGTGCCGCGCTGGCAGCCTGCGGAAGCCGCCGCGTAAGGTCGCCATGGGTTCTTGCGCAAGATCTCTGGTGTTTCGTCGCCCACCCCGATGTTTTCCCACGGGACGTCCAGCAGCTCTGCTATGCCATGATGCCCCGCCAGCGTGGCCCTGTGCCCTCTGCGGCATCGCCCACTCTGCCTGCCGCGCGCTGGCCGCTGCGGCTGCTGTCCTTGCGGGGCCAGGGTCCCGTGTCCTTCCTTCCCTCCCGTGGTCGTGTTCGCCATTGATGTGGTATCAATCAGGCAGTTCGTTTCGTTGTTCGTCTTGTTGTCTCGTTTAATGGCGGCATCGTTTCTTTTGTCGTTTTCGTTTTGCACCCGCATCGTTTTGAACGTGTCGTTCTAACTTTCGGATTCGTTTTGTTTTTCGCTCCAGACGCGAGCTCATTTTTAGAGATCGCTGTGGTCGGTCCTTGTTGATATCCCTCGATCAATCAGACAGGCCCTCTCCCTGCGGCTGCTGTCCCTGCGGGGCCAGGGTCCCGCCTTCTTCCTCCCCGTGGATCTGTTCGCCGTTGATAGCCCTCGATCAATCAGACAGGCGCTCTCCCAGTGGCTTTCCTGGCCTCGGTGCGCGAGGCGAGCCTCCTCCGCTCTCGCTCGGTGCCCGCGGCCTCCTCCTCTCGCTTCTTGGGGGATATCCCCCCGGTCCTTCGCCCCTCGCGGCTGCCCCTCCCTGGGCACCGCTTCTCGACCTGCTGGATCTCCAGGAGGAGGGAGGAGGAGGAGGAGGAGGAGGAGGAGGAGGAGGAGGGCCCAGAGCACGCGCTCTACCCAGCAGGAGGGGAGGACGGGGAGGAGAAGGGGGAGGAGGAGGAGGAGGAAGAGGAGGAGTAGGAGGAGGAGGGTGCCGTCGGGCAGACCGGCTGACGCTGCTCAAAGCAGGCCTTGAGGCTGAGGTCGCCCTTCCGCTGCCGCTCGCAGGCGCGAGCCCGCAACCTCCGCAGGGCGGATCTGCTTTCTCTTGGGGATGCCCAGGACCACCCCGCGTCGCGAAAGGGTGCGTCTGCCATGCGGAGCCCCTCTGCGAGGTCAGTCGCCGCGGAGGCATGGCGCGCTCTCCGGAGTCGCAGTAGCGGCGTTATCTGCAGTCAGACGGGCCGCGCCAGTGCAGAGGGGACAAAAAGGGGGGCGGAGGACAGAGCCGGCAAGCGTGGCGCTCGCCACCGCTACTGCTACTGTTTGTACTGCGACTGCTGCACTCCGAGGCAAGAGTATTGCTGGCAAGCGCCACAGCAGGAGTGGAGCTCCGAGGCAGCAGTGTGGTCGGCGCTGAGGCGAGGGCACCTCAGACGAGAGTGCCGAAGGCAAGACCATCAATTCGAGGCAGCGTGTGACTGCCATTGAGGCAGGAGCACCAATCTGAGTGGCGCCAAGGTGAAAGCAAAAATGCGACGGCGACGCAGGGTTGCACGGACGACGCCATGGCGAGATCACCGCTCTGAAGTAGGACCGTGATTGGTTCGTGCGCGAGAGCACCGAGTCGCGGTGGCATGTGGTCGGCGCTGGGGCGAGATCACCGATGAACGGTGAGGCATTGCCAGGCACCGCTTGAGCTTCCATGCGGCTGTTTCTAACCGCCTGGACACAATGAAACACCAGTCATGTCCAAGCCTGTTGTGGGGAACCAGCCTTATGCAGCTGATGGCATGCGCACACTTTTTGGTTTTAAGGCGCTTCTGCACAATCAGAAGATGGGCACACTATTACACACGGTTGGCTTTAAAAGTCTGTGCTGCTCGGCACAGCGCGGGCCATTTTTCTCCGCAGGCAAGAACTTTGAGATGACGTCCGTCGTGAAGCGCGCGGGGTGGAAAACGAAAGAGGGTTCTTGGGTAATACGTGGTCTGGCCATGCAATTTCGCGACGCGATCTGATTTAGTTTCTCTTTTGACATGGCTTGTTTTGTCTTTTGTGTGCTCTCTTCTGTTTGGGTGCGGAAGCAGAGGAATCGACCACATGACGTCACGTCTTATTCGGCCTGTCGGGAATGTTAACGGTACTGCAGGCTATCGGTGGCAGTGGTGGAATCACTTTGATTTCGATCGCGAAAGACAATTCCAAGACGGGCTGTTTTTGGCATGAGTGTGGGCAGTACATGTACGAGTTTGCGTTGGACGTGGTTCGTTTCTGTGGGCCCCGCGATCGCAAAGAAGTATTGCTGTAAGAAGTTTCGCTTGTTTGTGCAAGCCGAAGCTTCGCGTACATGCTGGACGCGTGCACTTTCCGGACTTGAGTTTTCGCCCCCATGCCCCTGAAGCGGATTGGTTGTGGCCCGATCGTAAAAGAGCGGCTACTCTGAAGGCAATCGGCATGACTACCATGAGTGCGCTGGAGCCTAAGGTGGGCATTTGTCTCCTGTAGCCGCCTTCCAAGATCCTAGAATGTTTTCCAATTCTGTGTGGTTGTGAGAGAGGGAGGGAGAGAGAGAGAGAGAGAGACAGAGTGTATACACTTTCATGTATATGTATATGTTTGTATATATATATATATATATATATGCGCATATGTATACACAGATATATACGTGTATATATATAAAATATATATGTGTATATGTATATGTATATGTATATATATATATATATATATATATATAAATATGGACAAGACTGCATTGGCGCTTCGCGCCATGCACCTTGGTCCTTGAAGCTTGGTATGCGAGCGTAGAGGCAGGACGGTAAACCATACACTTTAGCGATCACTTCTTGTTGCCTTTTCCGACATTGTCGTTTTAATACTGTGTTTCATTATCACTCCCCCGTGCTTCTTGTTTTTCTCTCTCATCTTCGCCCTACCCTGCGAATTCTTCCACATCCTTCTCAGCTCTTTTTGTGGAGCTTCCTCCTTGGAGAGCCTGGGGGCTTCGCTAAAGTTGTTAAGGGCTTCTAGGGGCCCTGTGGAGGCCTCCTGGGCGCTTTCTGAGGGCCTCTGGGGGCTTCCTCGGGCCACCCTGCTTCCAATCGCTGTCTCCCTGAACGACCAGGTCGCCATCTGGAATGCTTTGAGGGTCGTCTTAGGGGCCATCTTGGGCCTTATGGGGCTCTCCTGGGGCCGTCTTGGGGTCCTGTTGGGCCGTCTCGGGGCTCTCCTGGACTGATGCCTGGAAGCTCTTTCGGGCCTCCTGGGCGGTCCTGGACGCCTGGAAGACTGAAGAACAGAGCATTCCCAAATTCACCCAAAAACATTGGGAATCCATGTTTTTTTCGGCGTTCGGAAGGTCTCTTGGGGGTCTCGTTTGGGTGGTCTTCGGGCGTCTGGTGGGTGCTCCAGACCTCTCGGGGCCCTCGGGGGGGTCGTTCGGCCGCCCTGCTGCCTGATCTGGGCACGTGGCCCAGTCCCAGCAGGGGCTTCCAGGAGCTCCGGAAGGCCAGGGGGAACCTTCTGCAGGAGCGTCCAGGGGTCCCCTGGGGCCACGGATCAGGGGATCCCGTTTCTTTTCGGGGGGGGGATCTGAGGGGCCTTTTGGGTCGTTCTGGGACCATCTTGGAGGCCTTTTGGGCGATCTTGGGCGAACTTTGGGGGCTATCGGGCCGTCTCGGGCCGTCGGAAGGCCGAAAAGGAGTAAATGCCAACATCCTTGAAAAACCTTCGGAAAATCACCGATTTTCGCCTCTTCGGGCCTTCCTGGAGGCCCTCTTGGAGGCCTCGTGGGCTGTCTTGGAGGCCTCTTGCGGGCCTCTTGGGCCGTCTGCCGTCATCTTCAGGCCATATTGAGCCGTCTGGGATCCGTCGTGGGCGGACTTGGAGGCATCTTGGACCTTCTTGGGCCATCTTGGAGGCCACGTGCGACCATCTTGGGTAAACTTGGGAGGCCATCTTGAGCCATATGAGCCGTCTTGGGAGCTGTCTTGGAGGTGATCGTTTTTTTTTTTTCTGCGACTTGTGCGCCTTTCCGCGTGGCCGGCGGGACGAGCCGGAGCCCCAGGTGTGAGTTCTTTTGGAAAGAACCACAACCAAATTAGTAGGGTTCAGCACGCCAGGCACCCCTGTTGCAAGACCGCAGGGGGCGGCGGATCGAAGACGCCTACGGCGAATCACCGCCGCCCCCTGCCTTTGTGGAAGCGCCTATGTGGCCGAACGTTGAGGCCAGACCTGCCAAGCTATCGGACCATGTGTTCCCCGAATCGGTTTGGAAAGCCTTCGGGGAACACGTGGGCATCTTGAAGGTCATCTTGGCCGTCTGGAGGCCATTTTGACCCTTTCGGGTCTTCTTGGAGGACGTCTCGGAGGGCTCTTGGGCATTCTTGGAGGCCATCTTGAGCGTCTTGGAGGCCTCTTGGGTAGTCTTAGGGGGCCTCTTGGGGCCGTCTTGGGCCTCTTAGGCTATCTTTGGGGGCACTTACCTTCTCGGGCCCTTGGGAGGCCGAAAAGGAGTAAACGCTACAATCCTTCAAAAACCCATGTGAAATTAATGATTTGGGCCTTTTCGGGCCTTCCTGGCGGCCCTCTCGGAGGCCTCTTGGGCCGTCTCGGGCCATCTTAGGGAAAGCGCGCCACTGGATCACCCTGTAATTGAAAAGGGGGTGTGCTCGCAGACCCCTCCCCCCCTTTCCCCCTTCCAAGGGGGGTGAGATTTTCGACCCCCCCCCTCCCTCCCTTAAGGGGGGGGGGTCCTAACCCCCCCCCCCATTCACGGGGGGGGGGGGGTCCGGACACCCCCCCCTCCCCTCCTTGGCGCTGGAAAGGAAGGGGGGGGGGTCGGACCACCCCCCTCCCCTCTTTTGCGCTGGAAAAGGAGCCGGGGAGGGGGGGCCTCTCTCGCTTCTCTTTTCTGCGCCGGAGAAGGTGTCTAGGGAGTACAGAGTTGGGAGTAGGGAGTAGTGAGTCTTGAGTAGTTAGTGCGTACTGAGTAGTGAGTATTGGGTAGTGGGTAGTGGGTAGTGAGTGGCGAGTTGGGAGTAGGGAGTAGGGAGTGGGGAGTAGTGAGTAGTGAATAGTGAGTAGTGTGTACTGATAAGTGAGTAGTGAGTAGCGAGTAGTGAGTAGTGAGTAGTGAGGAGCGAGTAGAGAGTAGTGAGTACTGAGTAAGGAGTAGGGAGTAGTGAGTAGTGGGTAGTGAGTAGTGGGTAGTGAGAGGTGGGTCGCGAGTAGTAATCCGTGAGTAGTGAGTAGTGGATAGTGCCTAGTGCGTAGTGAGTAGTGAGTAGTGAGTAGTGAGTAGTGAGTAGTGAGCAGTGAGTAGTGAGTAGTGAGTATTAGTGAGTAGTGAGTAGTGAGAAGCGGGGAGTGAGTAGTGAGTAGTGAGTAGTGAGCAGTGAGTAGTGAGTAGTGAGTAGTGAATAGTGAGTAGTGAGTAGTGCGTAGTGAGTAGTGAACAGTGCAAAATAGGGAGTAGTGGTGAGTGGGCAGTGGGTAGTGAGTAGTGAGTAGTGAGTAGCGAGTAGGGAGTAGCGAGTAGTGAGTAGTGAGAAGCGAGCAGGGCGTAGTGAGTAGTGAGTAGTGAGTAGGGAGTAGTCAGTAGTGAGTAGTGGGTAGTGAGTAGTGAGTAACGAGTAGGGAGTAGCGGGTAGTGAGTAGTGAGGAGTGAGTAGGGAGTAGGGAGTAGGGAGTAGTGAGCAGGGAGTAGTAAGAAGTGGGTAGCGAGTAGTGGGTAGTGAGTAGCGATTAGTGAGTAGTGAGTAGTGAGTAGTAAGTAGCGGGGAGTGAGTAGTGAGTATTGAGCAACGAGTATGGGAGTAGCGAGTAGTGAGTACTGAGTACTGAGTAGCCGGTATTGTGTAGGGAGTGGAGAATAGCGAGTAGCGAATAGTGGGTAGTGAGTAGTGATTTGTGGGCAATGAATAGTGAGTAGTGAGTTGTGAGTAGTGAGTATACTAGTGGATAGTGGTTAGTGGGTAATGAGTATTGATTAGTGAGTAGCGAGTAGGGAGTAGTGAGTAGTGATTAGTGAATAGTGAGTATTGAGTAGTGGGTAGTGAGGAGTGAGTAGTGAGTAGTGAGTAGGGAGGAGGGAGTAGTGAGTAGGGAGTAGTGAGTAGCGAGTAGTGGGTGGTGGGTAGTGAGTAGTGGATAGTGAGCAGTGAGTCGTGAGTAGTGAGTAGGGGGTAGCGAGAAGTGAGTAGCGGGTCGCGAAATGAATAGTGAGTGCTCTTTGGGGCTGGGGCTAGTGGTTGGGGTTAGGGTTAGGGGCTTGGGTTGGGGTGAGGACTGGGGTTAGGGGTGGCGGGGGTCGGGTTCCGGAGTCGGGGGGCGGCGTGGCGAAAGGGGGGAGGGGGGGGGGTGCGGCCAAAGGGGGGGACGGGGGGGGGGGTCCGGACCCCTCCCCCTTTGAAAGCGGGGGGAACGGGGGGTGGGGTTCCCGACGACGGATCGTGGGAAAGGGGGGAGGGGGGTGCGTCCCCGACGACGGATCGAGGAAAGCGGGGAGGTGTGGGGGGGGAGGGTCCCACCCCTCGTCCCCTCCTTTGGGAGATCCAGCCCCCCCCCGGCGCCCCTCCATTCTTAGGGCCATCCTAGGCCGTTTGCTGGGACTTCGAGGCCCGCTGGAAAAAAACAAGACGTTTATGGGGGGCGCCCTGTCTCTGGGCCGACTTGGGGCCTTCTTGGAATGCTCCATGGCCGTATTGGAGGCCATCGTGGGCGTCTTACAGGCCTCCTGGGCCGTCTTGGGGGCCTCTTGGGGCCGTCTTGGGGGCCTCTTGGGCCGTTCTGCGGCCATCTTGGAGGCCTCTTGGGCGATCTTGGGCGAACTTTGGGGGCTCTTGGGCCGTCTCGGGCCGTCGGAAGGCTGAAAAGAAACAAATGTCAAAGTCCTTGAAACACCTATGGAAAATCAATGTGTTTGGTCTCTTCTGGCCTTCCTGGAGGCCCTCATGGAGGCCTCTTGGGCCGTCTTGGGCCAGCTTCGAGCCAACTTCGGCCATCTTGGTGGGCTCCTGGCACGTCTGACGCCGTCGGGAGCCGTTTGGTGGGCCTCTGTGGGCCTATTTGGGGCCTTCCTAGGGCGCCCCAGGGCCGTCTTGGCGGGCCATCTTGGGCGTCTTGGAGGCCATCTTGGCCCATCTTGGATCCCTCTTTGGGCCGTCTTGGGGGTCTGTTGGGCCGTCTCGGGCCTTCTTGGAGGCCTCGTGGGCGATCTTGGGGCGATCTTGGGGGCCTCTTGGGCCGTCTTGAGCCGTCGGAATGCCGAGAAGAAGCACATGCCAACATCCTTCAAAAACCTACGGAAAACCAATGATTTTGGCCTCTTCGGGCCCTCCTGGGCCTCTTGGGCCGTCTTGGGCCGTCTTGGAGGCCTCTTAGAGCCCTCTTCGACCGTCTTGGGCCATCTTGAGGCTATCTTAGGCTGTCTTGAGTGCATCTTGGGCCGTCTTGGAGGCATCTTGGGGCCATCTTGGCCGTCTTGTAGCTTGGAGGCTATCTTTAGCCGTCTTGGAGAATTAGTTGTGGACGTTGAGGTCGTTTTCGCGCCTGGAGTTCCCTCCCGGGATCCCGGCGGGACGGGCCGAAGCGCCATGGGGAGTTCTTTTGGAAAAAGAACCAACACCAAAGCGTAAGAAGTCCAGCACGCCGGGCACCCCTGCGATGAATCGACAGGGGGCGGCGGATCGAAGACGCCTACGGCGAATCACCGCCGCCCCCTGCCTTTTCGGAAGCGCCTAGGTATCGGACCTGATGTTCCCTGCATCGGTTTGGAAAGCCTTCGGGGAACACGTGGGCATCTTGAAGGTCATCTTGGCCGCCTGGAGGCCATTTTGACCCTTTCGGGCCTTCTTGGAGGACGTCTTGGAGGCCTCTTGGGCCGTCTTGGGGTCCTCTTGGGGCCGTCTTGGGCCTCTCGGGCGATTCTTGGGGGCACTTGGGCCGTCTCGGACCGTCGGAGGGCCGAAAAAAAGCAAATGCCACAATCTCTCAAACATTCATCGGACATCAATGATTTTGGCCTTTTCGGCTTTCCTGGAGGCCCTCTTGGAGGCCTCTTGGGGGCCTCTTGGGCCGTCTTGGGCCATCTTAGTGCCATCTTCGGCCGTCTTGGTGGGTCCCTGGCCCGTCCGACGCCGTCGGAAGCCGTTTGGGGGGCCTCTCGGAGCAGACTTGGGGCCCTCTTGGAATGCTCCAGGGCCGTCCTGGAGGCTAGCCTCCTGGGCCGTCTTGGGGGCCTCTTGGGGTTGTCTCGGGGGCCTCTTGGGCCGTTCTGGGGCCATCTTTGAGGCATCTTGGGCGATCTTTGGGCGATCTTTGGGGGCTCTTGAGCCGTCTCGGTCCGTCGGAAGGCCGACAAAAATAGCAAGTGTCAACATCCTTCAAAAGCCCAAGGCAATGTAGTGTTTTTGGCCTTTTTCTGGCCTTCCTGGATGCCCTCTTGGAGCCTCTTGCGCCGTCTTGGGCCAGCTTCGAGCCAACTTCGGCCATCTTGGTCGGCTCCTGGCCCGTCTGACGCCGTCTGGAGCCGTCTTGGGGGCCTCTCTGAACCGACTTGGGGTCCTCTTGGGGCGCTTCGGGGCCGTCTTGGAGGCCATCTTGGGCGCCTTGGAGGTCACTTGGGCCGTCTTGGGGCCCTCTTGGGGCCGTCTTGGAGGCCTCTTGGGCCGTCATGGGGCCCTCTTGGAGGCCTCGTGGGCGATCTTGGGGCGATCTTTGCGGCCTCTTGGGCCGTCTTGAGCCGTCGGAATGCCGAGAAGAGTCAAATGCCAAAATCCTTCAAAAGCAATGGAAAATCAATGATTTTGGATTCTTCGGGTCCTCCTGGAGGACCTTTTGGAGGCCTCTTGGGTCGTGTTGAGCCGTCTTGGGGCTTCTTGAGCGAACTTGGAGGTATCTTGGACTCTCTTAGGCCGTCTTGGAGGCCGTCTTGGACCATCTTGGGCGGACTTGGAGGCCATCTTGGACCATCTTGGAGGCCATCTTGGGCCAACGTGGCCATTTTGGCGCCATCTTGAGCCGTCTTGGAGGATTTTCTTCCGGATTGAGCGCCTTTCCGGGTGGCGGGCGGGACGGGCCGAAGCCCCAGGGGGAGTTTTTTTGGAAAAGAACCAAAACCAAAACCGAGAGGGTCCAGCTCGCTTGGTACCCCTGCGATGAATCGACAGGGGGCGGCGAATCGAAGACGCCTACGGCGAATCACCGCCGCCCCCTGCCCTTTCGGAAGCGCCGATGCGGCCGACTGCTGTGGCCAGAGGTCTGCCAAGTTATTGGGCCATATGTTCCCCGAATCGGTCTTTACAGCCTTCGGGGAACACGTGGGGGAGGACGGGGAGGAGAGGAGAGATAGGAGGAGCGGAAGGGTGACATGAGAGGAGGAGGCCTCATGGCGCTGTTGGGGCGAGTGGAGGACCTCAGCCGCCCTCGGGGCCGTCGCGAAGTAGCCCGGAAAAGCAAGAACCCCTGCCAAAATCCTCAAAAACCTAAGAAAATCAATGATTCTTAACATATTCGGGCCTCACCTGGAGGGGCGTCTGGTAGGTGCTTCTTGGGCCGTCCGGAGGCCATTCTTGCCAGTTGCCCTTTTTGGCCGGCTTAGACCATCTGACGGCCAATCTGGACCGGCTGGGTGCATCTTGGAGCCATCTACCCGTCTTGGAGGCCATCTTGGCCGTCTTGGAGGCATCTTGGAGGCCATCTTGGGCCATCTTGGCCGTCTTGGAGGCCATCTTGGGCGTCTTGGAGGCCTCTTTGGCCGTCTTGAGGCCCTCTTGGGGAATTCTTGGGGGCCTCTTGGGCCGTCATGGGGCCATCTTGGAGGCCTCTTGGGTGCTGTTGGGGCGATGTTGGGGACCTCTTGGGCCGTCTGGGGCCGTCGGAGAGCTGAAAAGAAGAACATGCCAAAATCCTTGAAAAACCTAAGGAAAATCAATGATTTTAACCTATTCGGGCCTTCCTGGAGGGCGCCTTGGAGGGCTCTTGGGCCGTCTTGGAGGCCTTTTGCGGGCCTTTTGGGCCGTCTTAGACCATCTTGAGGCCATCTTGGGCCGTCTTGGGTGCATCTTGGAGCCATCTTACCCGTTTTGGAGGCCATCTTGGCCGTCTTGGAAGCATCTTGGAGGCCATCTTGGGCCATCTTGGCCGTCTTGGAGGCCATCTTTGGCCAAGTTGGGGCAACAAAGGCATTGACAGATGGATTTTCGGAAACTTGCGGGTGGCCGGCGGGACGGGCCGAAGCCCATTGGGGAGTTCTTTTAGAAAAAGAACAGCACGCCGTGCACCCCTGTGGCAAGACCACGGGGGGCGGCGGATTCCTTTGCGGTTTGCGGCCCATCCCGCCACCGTGCCTGGATCGTGGACGAGAATGTTTGTCCAAATCTATTGCATCCTCCTTGGAGACATTTTGGCTTATTTGGGCTACAGGGGGTCTGGGACTCTATTGCCGCGAGTTTCTGGATTCCTTGGGCTGCCGTGGACCATTCACTAGAAGCGTCGAGTGGGCCATCTTCCAATCAAGCAGTTCCCACGGCTTTCAGCGATTTGCCTTCGCGGTTCACCCAATGTTGAATTTAAACCTAGAGTAGGCGAAAAGACAAGGAGTATGAAAATGAGCGAGATCTTAATGGTTGATGAGACCTTGGAGGAATCGAACACATGAGAAGCCAAGGATTATTGCGATAATCGGCGCGTGCATGTGATCCTGAGCTATTGGAAGACTTCCCGGAGCATCGTATAGAAACAATTCGGTCGTGGTCTATGGGGGGAAAGGGCCCTTGCCCCCGAAGTGAAAAGGGTCTTGGAAGAGAGAAGAACTCGTCCAGTCACTTGCGTCCACAGGGCTGGTGGGGTTTAAGCTGCACGACCGTGCAGAACAAACATGAGAAGCCAATACTCGGAGGGGTATCAAGTTCGGCTTCGGCGCGGTGGTGTAAGTCAAACGGAATGCAACGTATGCGGTTCAATGCTTGAAAGGCAGCCCGTGCCGTGCAAGCTATGTGGTGCAATTTGTCGAGTGCAAGATACACAGTACAACCTACGGAATGCAATAGTTCCCTGTCCATATATCTATATCTATACATATACAGTTGTATGCATGTAGAACGACATGTGTATGTATATGGTTCGATAGTTGTATACATATATATATATAAATATAGATAGACATGTGTATATATATACATATGGTGCGATAGTTGTGCTGATATATACGTGATGCAGTCTGTGTGGTGCAGTCCATGAGCGGCGATTCGTGTAGTGGACGTCATATCTTGCTAGCTCATCGTTTGAATACACGCGCGCACATTGAAGCGCGAGCCAGCGCACGGGGCGGTGTCGAGGCGGCGATGGGCTTTCAGCGTGCCAAAATCCAGCATCGCCAAAACATGAGCAACGCAAGCAAGAGCTTCTCAGTGTCTGCATTGCTTGGGGAATTACTGTTTTGGCCTCTCGAGCCAGCCCCAGGGCCTTTTTACGGCCCAAGTGGCTCTTAGGAAAGCTCCAAGACGGCTCCGTGGAGGCAACTTGGTGGGCGGTATGTTGTCAGAGTGGAGGGAGCGGCTGCCGGCGCGGGGGCAGGCCCTGCCCCTGCTGCACGACGTGCGTTGCGCCGGGGGCAGCGTGTCCGAATTCGCGGCGCTGGCAGCGCGGCGCACACCGCAGCTCCCCAAGGTGCCCGACTGCGTCAGGCGACACCTCCGGGCGCTTGCGTCTGCGCTGGTCGCCCGAGCTGGCTCGTCCAAAAAACGGTATGTTGTAGTTGTGGACGGTTTGTTGGAGTCGGTTGGGGCGAGGTTGGATTCCCGCAATATTACGTGAGCAACGCTGGAAGCGCCCTGGAGCGCCCAAGAGTTTCGACACGTGGGTGGCCCAAGCCGTCAAGAATCCTATGAGGTCACTCGCACCCACATCCGCAGGAGCCTCAGGGCGCTCCGCCACGTGCTGAAGGCACAGCTGCGGATAAGGAAGAGGGATGGAGGAGGCGGACGAGAAGGACCAGGAGGAAGGCTGGGATTGGGTGGGGGAGGAGGGAGGAGGTGGCGGAGGACGAGGAGGACGTGGATGACCCCGACCTGCCCGAGAGGAGCAGCAGGGGCAGGGCCACACGGCGCTGGAGGCCGCGTGCCTCCTCGGCACCTGCGCGCTGGGGCTGGCGCTGTGCCACTACACCCGGCGCCGCCAGGTGCGCGACCAGCCGCTCATGGCCGAGTAGACCCCGGGCGGCGGTGCCGCGCGCGCTCCGGCGCGCGCTGGCGCAGTTCGACGCGCTCGGGGCGCGCCGCGCGGCGGCGCTGCACGACGGTGCTCGGGCGCGCGGGCCTCGCTCTCGAAGCGGAGCGGCGGCCGCGCGCGGGTGATGTCACGGATTCCATACCCATCGCGGCCCCGCGCAGCCTCACAGGAAAAAGGCGGGCCGGCAGCTCGGGATCGGCGGGAGCTGGGGGGGGCTGAAGCAGTGTGCGTTGGCGCGTGGCGTGTCGGGGCAGCGCCGCACGCGCTCAGCAGGAGCAGGAGGTGCCCAAGGTTTCTTGAAGCGCCAGGCTGTGAGGATGATGGCCAGGCGGATCCGGGTCGGCACCCCGTCCTCCTCCGTCGCCTCATCCTCCCTTTCTCCGCCCGGCCGCCCCGCAGGTTGCAGCTGTCGCTGCGCAAGTGCAGGTCGATGTTCAAGCGGCTTTGCGCGCGCCCCAGACGGGGCAGGCCTCCCTAGCGCCGGTCGCGGTTTGGCTCGGTATCGTCGTCGTCAGAAAAGAAGAAGAAGAAGAAGAAGAAAATAAGAGGAGGAGTTGAGGAGGAGGAGGGGGAAGGGAGGAGGACGAGGAGGAGAAGGAGGGGGAGGAGGGGGGGAAGGAGGAGGAGAGGGAGGAGGAGAGGGAGGAGGAGGAGGAGGAGGAGGAGGAGGCAAGAAGGGGGAGGTGATGGAGATAGAGGAGTTGGTCGGAGGGGGGGACGAGGACGGGAGGAGGAGGAGGAGCAGACAGGAAGGAGGAGGAATAGGAGGAGGAGGAGAAGGAGGCAGAAGGGACGGATGAGGGAGGGGAGGGGCAGGAAGAGAGGGGGAACAGACGAAGGAGGCGGAAGCAGAAGCGATGAAGGATGCGAAGGATGGTGCGATTGAGGATGAGGATGAGGATGTTGTTGATGATGAGAAAGAGCGCGCCCTACCGCTGCTGGCGGAAAACCGGGGGGGGTCACTACTGGCTCGAACCCCTCCCCCCCCCCCCACCCGGAAAACCGGGGGGGTTCACTACCAGTTCGAACCCCTCTCCCCCCCCACCCAGTTCATCATGAAAAGGGGGGGGTCATTACCGGTTCGAACCCCCCCCCCGCCCCCCCTCGAACTCGAAAACCGGGGGGGGTCACTACCGGTTCGAACCCCCCCCCCCTCGAAAACCGAGGGGGGGTGCGGACAGTGGTGGGGACGGTGGTGGTGGGGACAGTGGTGAGGGGACAGCGGGACAGTGGTGGGGAAAAAAAAAAAAAAAAAAAAAAAAAAAAACCCCCCCCGTGGACCAGTGGGAACAGTGGTGGGGACGGTAGTGTGGGGACAGTGGGGGGAAAATGTTGGGAACGGGGAGGAACAAGTGGCCAGTGGTGGGGACGGTGGTGGTGGGGACAGTGGTGTGGGACAGTGGGAATGAGGTGGAAACAGTGGGACAGTGGAGGGTACAATGGTGGTGGGGACAGTGGTAAAGGCGGTGGCGAGGACGGCGGTGGGACAATGGGACAGAGGTACAGTGGGGACAGTGGTGGGGACAGTGGGGACAGTGGTGGAAACAGTGGGACAGCTCAGTGGGACAGCGGAGGAGTCAGTGGGACAGTGGGGACAGTGGGGATAGTCGGGCAGTGGTTGGGTCCGTGGAGACAGTGGGGAGAGTGGAACCGTGGTGGGAACAGTGGTGGGAACAGTGGGGACAGTGCGACAGTGGCGGGGGCACTGGTGGGGACAGTAGGGGCGGTGGTGGAACCAGCGGGGACAGTGGTGGTGAGGACAGTGGTGCTGGGAACAACAGTGGGATGTGATGTGGACGGTGGTAGGGACCGGGAGTCGTTTGCTGGCGGTGCGTGGGGGGAGGGGGGTCGAACCGGTAGTGACCCTCCTCCGGTTTTCGAGGGGGGAGGGGGGGTTCGAACCGGTAGTGACCCCCCCCCGGTTTTCCAGATCTGGAGGGGGAGGGGGGGGGGGAGGGGTCCGAACCAGTAGTGACCCCCCCCGGTTTTCGAGGGGGAGGGGGGGGGGGGGGGGGGGGGGAGGGGTTAGAGGGGAGGTGGGGGGGGGGGGGGGGGGGGGGGGGTTTGCCGGGGGTAGGGGAGGGAGGGGGTTTTGCCGGGGGGAAGGGGGGGGAGGGGTCTTGCAGGAGGGGGGGGGATTTTCGGAGGGGGGGGGGGGCAACCCCTGGGCTCCGGAGGAAAGGCGGTAAATTCCGCAGCAAAGCGGCGTCGTGGATCACCGCTCTCTCTCTCTCTCTCTCATCTCTCTCTCTCATCTCTCCTCTCTCTCTATGATGATGATTGAATGTGATGAGGCTGCTGGATGATGATGAATTGATGATGATGATGATGAATGATGAATGATGATGATTAGATGATGATATGAGATGATGATGATGATGATGAATGTGATGATAATGATGATGATGAATGATGCTGATGATGATGATGATGATGATGTGATGATGGTGGTGGTGGTGGTGGTGGTGGTGGTGGTGGTGGTGGTGGTGGTGTGGTGGTGGTGGTGGTGGTGGTGGTGGTGGGTGTGGTGTTGGTGGTGGTGGTGGGTGAGTGGTGGTGGTGTTGGTGGTGTGGTGGTTGGTGGTGGTGGTGGTGGTGGTGATGATGATGATGATGATGATGATGATGACGATGACGATGATGGTGGTGGTGGTGGTGATGATGATGATGGTGATGGTGATGGTGATGGTGATGGTGATGGTGATGGTGATGGTGATGGTGATGGTGATGTTGATGTTGATGATGCTGCTGATGATGATGATGAGTATGAGGATGGTGATGGTGGTGGTTGTGAGGGTGAATAAGATTGCCATGATGATGATGATGCTGATGACGGTGATGACATCAATGGTAACAATGATAAAGATGATGATGAGGAGGAGGAGGATGATGATGACAACGATGATGATGCTGATGATGATTATGATGATGAGCATGATGATGATGATGATGATGATGATGGTGATGATGATGATGATGGTGGTGGTGGTGATGGTGGTGATGATGGTGGTAATGATGATGAGTATGAGGGTGGTAATGGTGGTGGTCGTGGTGAGGGTGAAGAAGGTTGCGATGATGATGCGGATGCTGGTGATGACGCCAATGGTAACAATGGTAAAGATGATAAGGAGGAGGAGGAGGAGCATGATGGTGACGACGGTGATGATGCTGACGATGGTTACGATGATGAGCATGACGATGACGATGATGATGATGATGATGATGATGATGATGATGATGATGGTGATGGTGATGGTGATGGTGATGGTGATGATGGTGGTGGGGATGATAATGACGCTGGTGGTGCTGCTGGTGATTATGATGAGGAGGAGGATGACAATGATGATGACGACGACGAAGATGATGATGACGACGATGACGATGATGATGACGAATGACGACGATGATGATGATGGTGATGATGGTGATGATGGTGATGGTGATGGTGCTGATGATGATGATAGTGATGATGATGATGACGATGATGATGATGATGATGAGGATGATGATGATGGTGGTGGTGGCGGTCGTGATGGTGATGATGATGATGATGATGATGATGACGATGACGATGACGACGATGATGACGATGACAACGAGTGGGGGAAAAAGGAGAGGAGGATTAAGAGGGCGAGGACGGGG